TTTCCCAAAGAAACAAAAATGCACACCATCCCTCCCAGACCATTAATGGTAATGCCACTAGAGTGGGTAAGAGAAGAAAACTCCCCAGAATGAAACTTCTTCAGGAATCCCAACATATCCTGAAATGTTATCATTATAACCAGTTCCAGTGTTTTTACTGCAATATTTTTAAGCATGACCAAAGACAACATATTCTTAGGAATTCAAGGATGGTTTGATATCAGCAAATCAATCATGCTATATCATTATCATAATAAAAAAGAAAAAAAGTACTTGTATATCACTAGATTCAGAAAAGACACCTGATAAATCCAACAGCTGTTTCTAAAAATAGGACAAAATAGGAAAAATATCTATATGGATATAGAGATTTTACCAAAATTAAAAAGTAATCACTGGGGTGCCTGGGTGGCTCAGTTGGTTGAGCATCTGACTCTTGATTTCCGCTCAGGTCATGATCTCAGGGTCGTGAGACTGAGCCATGCATAGGGCTCTACACTCAGCACAGAGTCTGCTTGAGTTTCCCTCTCCCTTTTCCTTTGCCCTTCCCCAGCAAATGAATAAATAAAATCTTTTTTAAATTTTTAAAAAGCAATCACCAAAACAGAAGGTAAAACGTTAAATCCATTTCCATTAAAATAATGAATTATCACAATTATTATTTAACTTAATTCTGAAGATTGTACCTAATGCAATAAGAATATGACATACAGGGTAAAAATATTAGAAAAGGAAACATAAAAATATTTTAGTCACAGATTATATGACTGTATGCCTTTTAAAAATCACAAGAGATTATAGAGTTTTTAGAAAAGAAAATGCTGTAATTAATATTAGAATGCGCTAAGATGGTTGCAAAGAAGAGGAAAAAAAGGTATTAACCAATAGCCTCTCCTCATATAAGCACCAAAGAAATTAGAAAAATGAGGATGTCAACATTAAAATCAAAGCTGTTAAAAGGACATATGGGACATATGACCCAGTCTCTTCAATTAATAAATTAGAAAGAGAACACCTGAAAGGGATATGCAGATTAAAAGATACTTAATAGATATCAAATAGTTATAAAGTACTATCTTTTGGATCTCAACTGGAAAAAGAAAAAACTACTAAGGAAGAGGTGAGAAAAGGAGAAGTTATTAAGAAATTACTTTTGGTATTCTACTTCTACATTTCTGTTTAGGATGCAGAACTCTATAAAAGAATGTTGCTCCTATCCCAATAATAAGAAAAGGCCAGGAAACCTTCAAAATCATAACTTTTCTTGAACTCCTTAGAAATATGAGGCCATAAGGCCATAGAGTAAGCGAAATCCAAAAGGACAAGCCCCTTCAAGGAGAAATAGGACACAAAACCATCTTCCTTTTGGCAGATCACAGGAAAAAGAGGATGCTTCCATACAAGTGAAAAATAAGAAGTTATTTAAGAGTTCCAAAAATTCTTAAAGGCCAAGTATAGCCCATCATGCTAGTTTAAAATTGCTTGGAGTCCCAGATACCAGAGATATATTTGCAAGTTAATTCCCACAAACCTTCACTGGGTGTTCACAGAAAAGACTGGAGAGAGAGAGGGAGTACTGATAGTGTTTGCATGCGGGCAATGATCAGCTGCTGAGAGACAACCTTGAAGCCCTTCCAGTTCCCCAAACCTTCCTTTCATAGGAAACAAAAGGCTTAAACTTTTGGATATGTGAGTTGCAAATTTTCTCATCCTAAGAACCCATGCAAAAATCCATTGTTACTGGAATAGGGATTGAAGTAACAACCCTCTGTCCTTGGAGAAAGAGTAGGAAACCTTTTGGGGCCTGTAACATTACTCCAATACTAAGGAGAGGTCTGCTGTCACTGGAGAAGGGTCAAGCACCTGACAATAGAGATCTATCTTGTATTATAGACATGCGGGCACAATGGAAAGCTGCAAATGAAACAGAAACACTGAAAAATCTCCTCCAATAGAGCATCCTTGCTTTGGCACACAGTAAAAATATCCCACTTCTGGAAGAATTAGAACCCTATGCAACACTAAGAACTATAATAGAAACAAAAAAATCTAAACTCAGCTCAACTCCTGACTAGATTAATTTACCCTTTCCAGTAATGGACAGATAAAAGAAGAGGTATGCCCATTTCTGTGTATAAACATTGTTTACCCGAATCTCTAGTGGTCTTATATACATACTGTCCAGCACTCAGTGAAAAATTACGAGATACACAAAAAGCCAGAAAGACTAAATCATTGCTTTATCCAGAGAGATAAAACAATCAAGAGAACCAGATTCACAGATAAACCAGATATTAGAAATAACAGATAGGTAGTTTGGAATAATGACATTGGATATGTTAAATGATCTAGTGGAAAAGATAAGCAACATATTAAACAGATGGGGAATTTTCTCACCAAGATGAAAATTATAGACGGAGTCAAAGAAAAATGCTAGAAATAAAAAACAGTATCAGAGATGAAGAATTCCTTCACTAGGCTCATCAGAAGATTGGACACAGCGAAGGAAAGAATCAATGACTTAAAGATAATGACAACAGAAAGAATTTAAACTGAAACACAAAAGAAAAAAGTAAACAAAACCAAACAGTATGTGTAAAGAGCTCTGAGACAACATATGGTCACAAATCATGTGTCATCAGAACCCCAGAAGAGAGAGAATGGGGAAGGAGAAATATTTAAAAAATAATGACTGAGAATTTTCTAAAATTAATGAAAGACAATAAGGAACAGATCCAAGAATCCCCAAAACCCCAAGAAAGATTAAAAAAAATACCTAGATATATTGTAGTTAACCCGTTGAAAACAAAACATATAAAGAAAATATTGAGGGCAACCAGAAGTAAGGATTGGCGAGAGTTTAAACATAGAGGAACAGAAACAAGAACCGAAGCACTCTTCTTGGAAAGTATGCAAGCCAGAAGACAATGAAGTAACATCTTCAAAATACTGAAATAAAGAAATGAAATTTTAACCTAAAATGGTGTGACAATGGTACTGTGGTATTTTATATTTTTTCTCAACAGCTTTTATACTTAAAGATTCACACTAGGGATTGTTTCACACTAATCAGAGAGGAGAGCTCACCTTGTAGATGAAGGTAGAGATAAACCAAGATGATGACTGGCTCATCAACCAATCATCAACCATGAGTTGATGATGATAGAAAGTAGGTGATAAACAGAGGGGAATTCAGTGATAGTCTCTCTATTCTCATAAATTTCTTTTAAAGTGCCATAATAGAAAATTTTGTTAAGAAATGGAAAATTTGTAATATTTTTTATTTGAGTACAGTTTGACACACAATGTTACATTAGTTTCAGGTACACAACATAGTGATTCAACTTCTCCATACACTATGCTATGCTCACAAGTGTAGATAAAATTTATCACCATACAACACTATTGTAATACCACGGACTATATTTCCTATGTTGTGCCTTTCGTTCCCATGACTTACTCATTCCATAACTGGAAATCTGGATCCTCCACTCCCTTTCCCCTCTGGCAACCACCAGTTTGTTCTCTGCATTTGAGAGTCTGGTTTTCTGTTTTGTTTTTTTGGTCTCTTTTTTGGGTTATTCATTTTTTTTGTTTCTCAAATTCCACACATGAATGAAATCATACAGTACTCTGGGTCCATCCATGTTGCCACAAATGGCAAGATCTCATTTTTATGGCTGAATAATATTCCACTGTATATATATTCCACATTTTCTTTATCAGTTCATCTATGGATAGACACTTGGTAATTTTGCTTTTTGGTGTTTTTTTTTTCATTTATTTTGTGTTTTAGATTCCACACTTGATCTTAGCCAAAAGGCCAAGAAGTTTTAGATTCCACATATGAATGAAATCATATACTATTGGTTTCTCAGTCTGACATTTCACTTGGCATAATGCTCTCTTGGTCTATCCATGTTGTTGCAAATAGAACAATTTCATCTTTTTATTGCTGTGTAATATTCCATCACACACACACACACACACACACACACACACACACACACCTTCCTTATCCATTCATCTGCCAATGATGGACAATTAGGTTCCTTCCATAACTTGGTTATTGTAAATAATGCTGCAATGAACATAGAGGTACATTTTCTTTTCAAATTAGTGTTTTCATCTTCTTAGGGTAAATACCCACCATACACAAAAATAAATTCCAAATGAATTAAAGTCCTAAGTGTGAGACCTGAAACCACAAAAATCCTAGAAGAGAAAAGAGGCAATAATATCTCTGACATTGACCGCAACATTTTTCTAGATATGTCTCCTAATGCAAGGGTAGAAAAAGCAAACATAAGCTATTAAGATTACATCAGAATAAAAAGCTTTTGTACAGGAAAGGCAGCCATCAACAAAACAAAAAAGACAACCTACTGAATGGTAGAAGATATTTGCAAATAATGTATCTGATAAGGGGTTAATATCCAAAACATACAAAGAACTTATGCAACTCAACACCAAAAAACCCCAAACAATCTAATTTAAAAATGGGTAGAGGACCCAAATAGACTTTTTCCAAAGAAGACATACAGATGGCCAACAGACACATGAAAGGATACTCAACATCACTAATTATCAGGGAAATGCAAATCAAAACCAAAATAAGATGTCACCTCCCACCTGTCAGAATGGCTAAAATCAAGAACACGAGAAACAACAGGTGTTGGTGAGAATGGGGAGAAAGGGGAACCCTCGTGCACTGCTTCTGGGAAGGCAAACTGGTACAGCCACTGTGGAAAACAGTGTGGAGGTCTGTCACAAAATTAAAAATAGAATTACCATATGATCCAAAAATGGATTTTTTTAAGAGAAAAAAAAACGGAAGAAATTAGTGTATCATAACACATATTCCACCAGTCTTCTCTGATTTTTTTCCCTAATTATCTCTTCCTATGGTCCACAATGGGTTCACAGGTCTCCAAACTGGGGTCACGTAGTGCTACAGCCTTAGCCACCCTCTCCAGTGACATCACCCCAGCAAAACCTACCAGTGCCAAAGCTCTCTTCTCCACACAGAGAGCACCGTCCTGAGTCCATCAGATTGGAGAAGAATCTCCATCCCGCTGGGGTCTCATATACAGGGACCTTCATTGATTTGGCCACTCTGAAAAATTAAATTCAAGGCAACAGTCAATTCATATATCTCTTCTTTCTTTTCTAAGCACAGAAGAAAGTCTTTAGAATTTATTAACTCCGATAACTAGATTTCAGAACATTCCAGACTGTGTTGACATTTTTCAGGATGTTAAGCGATAAGGTAGAAAATGATAAATAGCATATTCCAAGGGTTCTCAGTTTTGCTTTCCCCATAATATAGGAAATATTAAGTTAATGTGTAGGATATTCTCACACTTACATTTTCCTTCTAAAAATGTTCCTTTATCTGCATGGTAAGATCCCACTTGGGGATCTCAGAATCTAAATTAAGAGGGAGTTTGGGTACAAACATTTTGGAATATTGTTTGACAGTATCTACTAAAGATGAATATATCCATATCCTATGAACCAGCAAGTCAACTCTTAAAAATCAGACATGTAGTGGACACTTGTGGCATACAGCTGTGATTCACTGCCAACCCACACACATACACGCTAGGACTTTTAGGATTGGAAAACTCATTCTACCAGCTCCTAGAAATGTTGATGGCTAATGGCTCACAGGTGTGGCCCCCACTTTCTGCCAAAAACAGATGTCACATTCAAAATCATGCTTCCCTCCCCAGGTCAGTCGATGTACAATGACTGGTAAATGAGGATGGATAAAGGTCTAGGTTCCTTGCCCCTATTTGGCACAACTCTGTGGGACTATTTCAGCTCTAGAGCTCTCCATAGGTTGGCTGAGGCCTTTGTTGTGACTGCACTGTAGTCCGACTTATCTCTCGGTGTCCAATTCGCCTTCCTTGCTCCCCCACAGGTACTGATCTTAAAGTCAACTTTGGTCTTGATGGCAGAAAGGAATAAACTTCTTGCAAGCAAATCTCTTTCAGGGGTGCCACCTGGGGAACCCAGTATGTCACATTACTCAACAAAATATATACAGAAGATTTTACAAAAATGATCATAGAATCACAATTCACAAGAACTGAACAAACCCAATGTCCATTGAGTAGGATGGAGAGATGACTTGTGATATATAACACACTACCATAGATTTCGTGGAACAAACTATTGCTACATGCAACAACTTGGGTGAAACTCACAAACATCATATCAAGTAAAAGAAACTGGGAACAAGAAAATACATACTATATTGTTCCATGTAGATAAACTTCAAGAACAGCTAAAACTAAACAGTGCTATCACAATGCAGGTTTAGGGGATCAGAGAGGTCAAGTGTTTTGTTGAAGGTTTCACAGAGATAAGAGGCAAAGCTAGAATTTGGACTCAAGTCTGCTTAATTTCTGCTCACATTCCATTCCATTATATCGTGGTGTCTGCCCAAATGATTTAAGAGGTATGTAGATCTCAGAAAATGCTCAGGAATGATCTGGTACTGTACCCCGACCTAAAGAGTTTCATCTTCCCCACATGCAAGCAACCAAAAAGCAAAAACACCAAATACCTGCCACCACCAAGATTTAGTTTCTCAGAGGCTATAAGTGCAGGAGGTAGTCAGGGAGAGGAACCAGTGAGGGCATCTTGGTGAAGAAGAGGAAGAAAGGTGCACAGAGGACAAAGGACATAATGTAATAATGATTTCTTTAGTTTTTTTTTGTGGCCAGCTAAAGAAAAAAAAAATCTAGAAACTCTTGCCAGAGGAAAGGGAATACCTTCCTTTCCATAACATATAAGTGTAACTGATGTGTTCAGGACCTTGAAAAATTATGTGCTAAATCTCCCTCATTTGCTTGGAAAAGTACTTTTTAGATGCTCGGGTATTACATCAAAGGTTCTGTTGTTGTTTTAGTGGGCTAAGAAACATATACAATTACACTTGTATCTTGGTAGGAACAATGAAATAAATCCTCCCCCAACTGTAGATCCAAGGTAAATTTTCATAGTCAGAAGCAGAAGGAAGGAGGAGTAATTCACAGAGAAGATTCCCAGAATCGGCACACAGTAAAGCCTAGGTCCAAGTTAATTTTGCAAATATGAATGCATATGATTACCAAATAGAAAGTGCAACATGGAGTAGATGTCAGGGTAAGAAAAAGGGTAGAGAGTTTGGGGACATATATTTTCTGGCTAAAACATTCTTGTTGGTTCAGAGCCAAGTTGGCAGATCTGAAGGGAGGGGAAAGGATTTCCCTTGCTCCCACCCTTCCCAATGAATCACTGTCAGGAGGTCACCAGGCTGGGCACTGAGGCTGGATTTTAAAGGACCGGATACTTGTACAACGCTAAGGCACAGTTGCAGGTATGCAAGCTAAGATAACAACATGGGTAATTAAATTCTGGGATCGTGAGCATGAGCTGATTGTGCCCTAGAGTCAGAAAGGAATTCCTCTTCCTCCTCCCTCTACTGAACTTGGGATCCATCCCAAACACAGCATTCAGCAGATACCATTCTCTAGACTGGTTTTTGGCAGCAGACCCCCTGGGGATTTTCTGAAAGCTTAAAACCAAGCTGCTTATGCTGGGGGTCTTCACCCCGCTTGACCGCTGCCACCATGTGCTAGAGACAAACGTTAAGGACTCACTTCCTAGGAAAGACTGGAGTATGAAGAAAAAGAAAGAAAATGAGTCTCGACCACAATTTTCCCGCAAGTGGGAGTTGAGTTCTGGTAGTTAAAAAAACAAAAACAAGGGCGCCTGAGTGGCGCAGTCGATTAAGTCTCTGACTCTTGGTTTTGGCTCAGGTTGTGATCTCACAGTTCTGAGAACGAGCCCTGTGTCAGTCTCCACACCCAGTATGGAGACTGCTTAAGGTTCTCTCTCCCTCTCCCTCCACCCCTCCCCACTCCTTGTGCTCTCTCTCTGTCTCAAATAAGTAAATCTTTAAAAAAAAAAGAAAGAAAGAAAGAAAGAAAGAAAACGAACCATGGTGGATGTAACCATGGTGGATGTAACCTTACAGGATGTAACCTGTAAATCTCAGTGTGATTTGTAAACCTCTAAAAATGTGGTTTCAGATTGGAAACAGTCTCAACCTACTTTTCCAATAGTTTCTCTCATGGAAGTCACTATAAGCTCCTCATAACTGGACCATCTCTTATTTTCCAAATATGCTCTTTCATTTTTGCTGTTGTTGGCTACTCCTGAGTCATTCTTCATGCTTTTCATTTTACCTAGATTAATACCTTCAATCTCTGTCAAAATCCTTCACATTGCCTCAAGACCTATTTGAAATGCCCTGCCACCATGAAGCCTGTGGCAAAGGCTGCTGGATGACCAACAAACCCTTCTCTTCTCCTGGACACACAGCTGGACTATACTTCTCAACCTCCCTCCCAGTTAGCTGTGGTCACATGGTGGAGTTCCAACCAATGGAACTTGAGTGGAAATGACATACACCCTTTGCAGATCTAGCTATTAAACCTTCCCATCCTCCATGTTCTTTCTCCTTCTGCCAGCTTACAGCGGACAAGCTGTGCAAACACAGAAGCTATACATTGAAGATGGTAGACCCACAGTATGGATGGATCTCAGTCTCTAATTTGCCATTTGGAGCAGAATCAACCACCAATCAGGAACACCTGTTTTTAGCTTTTGATGACTGAGAATATTGTTTTTTTTCTAATTGTTATTTTTTTAAGATTTATTTATTTATTTTACAGAGATCACAAGTAGGCAGAGAGGCAGGCAGAGAGAGAAGGGGAAGCAGGCTCCCTGCTGAGCAGGGAGCCGGACATGGGGCTCGCTCCCAGGACCCTGAGATCATGACCCGAGCCGAAGGCAGAGGCTTAACCCACTGAACCACCCAGGCGCCCCGAAAATATTGTTTTGTAGTAACAGCTCCATTACAATCAAACCGAAGTAACCCTTCCTCTCACTTGGTTTATGTCTTTATGTTCACGTTGTCATTGCTGATGTTGTCACATCCTTAACACTTTTCTTCCACACACAGATGCACACTACTATCATGACCAGTGTATTAGAAGTTCTTTGAAGCATGAACTATATCTTATAGACTTTTTATAGCTCTTCAGTGTTTAGGATAATACTTGTCAGATTTTCCCTTGATAAATTCGGCATGATTTTGGTTGACTAATATTGAATCTTTAAGGGTGTTATCGTGTAGCAGGGAGAAAAGAATCTTTATTTTATGGCCTTTTTCTCTTGTAGTATCTTAAAACTATAACTAAGTCATTTCTGCATGCTTTATTTATTTATTTACTTTAAAAGATTATTTATTCACTTATTCGAAAGAGAAAAAGTGAATGAGAGGAAGGACAGGGAGAGAGGGAAAGAGAACCCCAAGCAGACTCTGTGCTGAGCATGGAGCCCCACGCTCAGTCTCACTACCCTGAGATCATGACCTGAGCCAAAATCAAGAGTCAGACGCTTAACCAACTGAGCCACCCAGAGGTCCCACCATGTTTTATTTAAATTCATCATTTTGAGAAAAAGAATTTCACAAGATATTAATTAGTGGGGTTATCAGGATGAGAGAAAGGCATTTCTTGGAAATAAAGATCTCACAGATTTAAGGCAATGACTAACTGAAAATCAAAGGTTTCAGGAGCAGGAAAATACATTTTTCTATTTTACCAGTCTGGCCATCACCCTACCCTCAGGTGATCAAACAAGATACAGATACTAAAGCATCCCAACAGTATCCTAAAAGCTCACATAATTAAGGGGCACTGACATACCCATCTTTGTGCCTCCAGCACAGTACACAGCCACAGTCGTTATTCAAATATCTAGTGACCTAAATATACAGTACTACATCATTATGTGGGATAGACTCTACTGGGACGACAATGATTAATGACTCTCTTTCAGCATGTGAGACAATAGCCAAATAAAAAAATGATTGGTTCTATCAAGAATATGAAGCATACCCAGCTCTCTTGGAATCCTACTTCAACAAAGCTGCAACAAACTTAAAGAGAACAAGATCCAGGTTTCTCTTCTTTTGATTTACCTTCAAATGTCCACTTTCTTGAAACTCAAGCAGAGCTCATGCCTCTATTTTCTGCACACCGAACACTTAACCCC